ACACATGTTAAGATTCGTTACGAATTTGTATAAGCATTGCAAAGCCATTACACATGATAACTGTATGTTTGAAATTATTGTAAACAAATATGCATCAGAGTTGTCACATCAACTTTTATGACCTCAACAACTATGCATCAACTTTACACGAGTTGTCACTTCGACTTTTATTTACTACTCAATGCATATCTGAAGATTTTAAGCAAAGTTCAAATCCGCTTAGAAATTTAATTTCACTTTTCCGCTAATAAATATAATTCAATTTATTTTGCCTTCACAATATATTTAATTTCACTTTTCACCTTACATATTTCATTTAATTTAATTGGAGAAGTTTAACCAATTTAATTTGAAATTAACTATGTGTTGATTTAAGTCGGTGTTGTTCTTGTCTGCATACTAGGCTTAAAAATTAATTAAAAGACCTTCTAAATATTTAATTTGCACTTTAGGATTGACCACCAAAATATTGAGATTGCAATATTATTATTATTTTATTATTTACTTAATTTTTATATTCGGGTTCTCACAGAACAGGTAGCTTAGTCAAATTTTCCCTCAACAAGGGCTCCTCAAATAGTGACCTCTACGTAAAGAATTTCAATCTCCATCAGGTAAGAAGAAAGAGTCACCTTCCAATTCTTGGAAGTCCAATGAAAATGATGACTCTGGTAAGGAATGAGGGGTTAACAGAAAACTAAACTTGGGGGCTGGACAAACATTACCCAAAAACAAGTGGTTGGTCCAGTTGGGTGGACTAATAAAGTTCAAACAGACAAACTACTGCCTTCAACAACACAAAAAACAGAACAGGTAGCTCAATCAAAAGCTTCCCTTAACTAGGGCTCCTCAAATAGTGATCCTCTACTTAAAGAATTTCAATCTCCATCAGGAAAGAAGCAAGAGTCGCCTTTCAATTCTTGGTAGTTCAGTCAAAATGATGACTCTGGTAAGGAATGGAAGGTTGACAGAAAACTAAGCTTGGGGGCAGGACAAACAAGTTCAAAGCCAAGTGGTTGGTCCAGTTGGGGGATTAATAAATTTCCAAAAAACTGTTCTTGGAAATTCGAAAACCAAGTAAGTTTTGGATTTAAAATTTATAAAAATTATTTTTAATATATACAAGCAAACAAAATTTTAAGTTTGACAAACTCTTTTAAAAAATGTAATTATAATATTCATTTCAAAATACAAAACCATACGGATCATCTATTTGAATAAATTCCATTTTAACCCAATACTTTTATATTATTACATTTTCATTCCAACAATATTTTCATACACTAGTCTTCCAATACTATTGGGTTAAGTGGTTGTGCATGAGATTTGCAAATTTATTACGAGTGATTTTCAAAAAAAAATCAAAAATAACAATTAATCTTCCATACCTATGGGATTAAGTGAGCATGCGTGGGATTTACAAATTTGTTACGATTGATCTGCAGATGGGTACGTTACGACCAATGTTCAGTTGATGTTGTAGATGTTTCCCAAAATATTACAAATTGAATATTCAAAAGTTGATTTTAAAATAATTCCAAATGACAACAAAAATTGAAATAGTCATACTTTTCAATGAAATACAAATAGTTGGTCGTAACAACGAATGATGCTTCGCTAAGTGAAACACAGCATTGCCTACATAAGCTTTCTTTTTTCACACATTGAGTAGTCAAATCATGGAGAGACTTGTCAAGCCATTCACAAATCCATCAAAAATGCCTTACTGATGCAGTGACATTGAACACAGTTAATAAATTAATCCCCCTACGAATTGGTGAATTTTACATGGGCACAATAAACTTCGTACGCATGTGTGCTTCTTTCATACAGTGAGTAGTCACTTTGAAGTTATGATATCGAGGTCAGAAATTTGAAATGGAGGAGGGTAGAAGATAAAATGCTATACTAGTTCGTGACTTGTCAACATGCAGTGACTTGTCAAGTCAAGTTGGTTGGGTTCAATCAGTTTTGTCGGTTTTTTCGATTTTTCTTACATCCCTCGTTACAGTGAGTAGTCACTGAGTTGTCACATCGAACATGCAAGTGAGTTATGTTCCAAGAAATTCAAGTTGCGTTTCTAACACTCCTCGCCATTTTTACTACATTGACAGTGTCACATGGCAACAGTGACTTTGCTCATACGCTTTAATTTTCACTAATTTACCTTACAATGAGCATGCCCTTATTTTGTCGGTATATGCAGATGGATTGTCAAGTCATGTGACTTGGTGCACAAGCATTGGTTTTCTCAATTTTTTTATTATAGTGACAACCCATCTCTTATTGATATATGTGGGATTGTCAATTCATAAAGCCACATGGCAACAGTGAATTCGCTGATTTACCTTACAGTGAACATGCCCTTATTTTGTCGGTATATGCAGATGGATTGTTAAGTCATGTGACTTAACGCATAGGCATTGCTTTTCTCTATTTTCTGATTATAGTGACAACTCATCTCTTATTGATATATGTGGGATTGTCAATTCAGAAAGTCACATGGCAACAGTGAATTCACTGATTTACCTTACAATGAGCATGCCCTTATTTTGTCGGTATATGCAGATGGATTGTCAAGTCACGTGACTTAGTACACAGTAGTTGCTTTTCTCTATATTTTCATTCTAGTGACAACTCATACCTTGTTCGTATATGTGGGATTGTCATGCAGAGGCATTTATTTTCTATGGTTTTTCCTTCAGTGTCTTTCTAAAGCCGTTCATAACCAACTATATAAACGACTAAAGGTGAAGACACAACCTTACAACTCAATTCGCCCTACGAAATTATCATTCATTTGTTTAAAAAAATTAGCATGACTACACGATTCATGAGAGGGAGTGCGAATCGCAGAGGTGGTAGGAACTTGCAAAGGGGTGACAGTTCACGACGAGGAGGGGGAAGCGGACGTGGTGATGCTAAAAACGAAACAACAATACCTGTTTTAGATTATGCTTGTGGTTATCGTGATAGGTTTAGGAAGCGACATTTTTTTATGCCCAAGTATTATCGAGTTCAAAGAGGTTCATGTATGGAGCCATTTGACAATCAAACAGGATATGGTTTATCTGACGCTGCTCATCTGAAGTGGCCCGCACTATTTATAAAGCGGGTACAGCTGGAAACCTTAAGTCGGGAAAATCAACTTAAGGTGCCAAAAGCACGTTCTGTTGAGATCCAAAAGGAAGATCCTGATAATGTTGATCAACTATGTGAAAGACTACAACATGAGATTTCTCAAATGCGCCATAGGTTAGCCCGCAATATGCAACTATACATAGTTAAGAAGGATGCCCAAAAGAACAGAACAGAACCAAATGTTTCGGCTATCAAGGGTATCATGGAGGATCCTGAACTTGTCTCTGACCCTAAGCTTTCGGATTATTCAGACTCTAAGATTGCCGATTTAAGCGCGAATTAGGTGTTTATGTCTATACTTCGGCAATATTAGGTCATGCATGAATATGTAATGTGTGTATTAGACTAAGTGTTTCCGTAATGAGTTTGTCAGATTGTCTGCCTAATATTTGTCTATCTAATTATTATATTTATGTATTGTGTGTTCAGTTCAGGGTGTCCACGATGTATGTATTGTGTGTTCAGTTCATAGTGTCCAGAATGCATTTTTGTGGGAGACTTATGTCTGTACTACCTATGTAACTGAAAACCGTTACATTTGCAACTTCAGTTATGTTGTTTTCATGCCCGTATGAGTATTTAGTAAATTAGTGATTTCGTATATTATGTATTAAGTTTTATTACAAAAATGTTGACAAAATTTATTTTAGGGGAAATACACATTCTCTTAACTTGTTCATCTTCTCAATCGTGACAACCCAAAAATGTAACCATTATTCATTGAATATAACAAATAACGTTCTCATTCTTACAAAAAGTACACTACCAATTGAATAAAACAAATAACCTTTCCATTCATTCATTCATTGCACAATAGCAGTCTTATGAAATAAGCGAAACCAATTTAATCACAATAACATCAACTCCAACACAATATTTACATTACATAAGTTCATGTTCGTAATCGGACACCAAATTACATACAAGTTACATTACATAGCAAAAAAAGAAAAAAGTACCATTCGTATGTAAAAAAATACATCACCAAATTTTGAGGTCTTTCTCTTCTTCCTTTTTGCTGCAGCTCTCGCGGTGGCCTTTATTTTCTTGGCCTCCTCCGCGGTGCTCTTCGCGTCTCACCCTTCGTCGTTGTTCGTCAAAGTGTAGAGTGTGTGGGTGTGCTTCAGACTGTAGAGCATGTATATCACCTTCTAACCCAAAACAAAAACGAAAGGAAAAAAAAAAATTTAATGAAAACAGCTAGAAAACGGTTTTACTAAACCAGTTTTCTGAATTACATTATCACCTTCTAACCCAAAACAAAGACAAAAAAAAAATTAAATGAAAATGGCTTTAGTAAAGCCAAAAAAAATTTCTGAATTACACTTTCTAACCCAAAACAAAGACAAAAGAACAAAAAAAAATTTTTTTTAATGAAAACGACTTTAGTAAAGCCAAAAAAAATTTCTAATTTACATTATCACCTTCTAACCCAAAACAAAGATAAAAGAAAAAAAAATTACATGAAAACGGCTTTAGTAAAGCCAAAAAAAATTTCTGAATTACACTTTCTAACTCAAAACAAAGACAAAAAAAAAATTTAACATGAGAACGGCTTTAGTAAAATCAAAAAAAAAAATTTGAATTATATTATCACCAAAACAAAGACAACAGAAGAAAAAAAAATTTATATGAAAACGACTTTAGGAAAGCCGTATTAAAAAATGGTTTTAGTAAATCCGTTTTCTGAATTACATTATCACTAGAACAACGACAACCAAAAAAAAAAAAATTACGTTAAAACGACTTTAGGAAAGTCTCATATTGGAAAACGATTTTACTAAACCTATTTTCTGAATTACATTATCCTAATTTAGGAAATCCGTCTAAACTATCCCTAATTTAAAAAATAAGTTTATTTTAGCTTAATTTGGGAAAAGCCCGACGAGAGAGAGAGAGAGAGAGAAAAAAGTGTGCTTGCAGATATGTCTGTCGTCGCCGGTGCCGGTCTCGGTCTCATCTCATTGACAAATGCTGATATGGGTGTCTCTGTCTGTGAGAGGAATGGATTTTGGGTTCAAAATTGTTGCCACAACTCATCTTTGTCTTCTGGGTTTGGGTTTGGGTTTTCTATTCCTCCAAGACCTACTTTTGGTGTCACTTTAGCCACCAAGAAGCTGAAGCAAAGTTGGATTTTTGGTTTGAGGACGCCTAGTAGTAGTGGCAGGTCAATCCATGTTCTGTTGAAAGCAGAGTCTACCAATCGGTCGGTTGATGGTGAGATTATCAAGAAAGAGTTGGAATTCAAGCCATCGTTTGAGGACTACTTGAAGGCTATGGAGTCTGTTAGAACTGGCAGAGATAATAAACAAACACATAATAGTATCAAAAGATACAAGCCAACGAATGCTGACAGTAGCAAGTTAGGAGATTTTCAAGGGCATACCCAAGAAGAGCATGCCAGTGGTCAAATTGATTGTAAGGAGAGAGGAATTAGAAAATTAAAGGATGCGAATTTGACGATTGGGTTTGAAGAGAAAGGTAATGCAGGGAGGGTTCGAGATGAATTGGACGGAAGAGAAAGCAAAATTGATTTAAATATTGATAACAAGTTGGATATGGATGAAAAAAAATGGAGATCGGAAAAAAAGAGGACTAACAGTATCAGTGTACAACAGAGACAGAAGAATAGTGGAGTGGAAGGGCACAGATTTAAGGCTGATAAAGCTAGTCTTAAAGGCACCAAAATGGGTATAGGAGTGGAGAGAAATTGCATTCAAGTTGAAGCTGTTCCTCATGAAAGAATATCAGTGAACAATGTGAAGTTTACAAGGAGGAATAAGCCTATAGCTGAGAAAAGCAATGATGAACAAGTGGAGTTGGAAAGAGCTGCTTTCAAGTCACTAGAAGAATTCAATGATATCGTGGACAAGCCACGACTTTCTCGGAATGAAATGGAGGAGAGGATCCAAAAGCTAGCTAGGTGGTAAGTGTTACATTACATGCTTTGGATATCTGTTGAACATGATATTGAAAGATGGTTTGTTTGTTCTTTCTTTCTAATTGATTCTTCATATTTGCATGTCCTTTAGGAAGATTTGATGTCTTAATCCTAGCCTAGGAACGTGTTGCTTCATGAATGTAACAATGTTAAAGTTTCATGCTTTAATTTTAGTTGAGAGTTTCTCAGAGTCTGGCTCATGGTGAAGTGGTTTCTTTTAACAGTTTGAATGGTGCGGACATTGATATGCCCGAGTGGATGTTCTCTAAAATGATGCGAAGTGCAAAAATCAGATTCTCAGATCATTCTATGTTGAGGATTATCCAGATATTGGGTAAACTAGGGAACTGGAGGCGGGTGCTTCAACTTATTGAGTGGCTTCAATTGCGTGATCGGTTCAAATCTCACAAGTTAAGGTACTTTTCTTCTCTTCTGATTTTTATCAAAAAAGATGAGCATATGTTGTCTATATGATAAAAACTCGTACCTGAAGATTATTTCAATAGTTTCAGGGTGTACTGACTAATAACCTTTCACTTCTTTTACATTTTGGTTTGTCACCATGGTGACATCCACTTTATCTCTGGAATTCTCTCTCTCTCTCTCTCTCTCTCTCAAGGTAAATTATGGGCAATGTTTTCATATATTCTTGAAAATATAATAAAGAAAAGTAGGTACTCATGATAATTGCTTAATGTTCATGAAACAACCTTTAAGAAGAATCTTCAAGGTAAAAATTTGGTACTTGGAAATGTTCTTTTCTTAAAATCAATTAGTTGTAATATCGTAGACGGATCTCTGCTGAAGAGACGAGTGAATTTTCAATTTCTGTGAGGTTATATCAAGAATCAATCTTAAGTCCTTATCTTTTCGCTTTAGTTATAGATGAGTTGATCCGCAATATTCACGATGATGTGTCATAGTATATGCTTTTTGCAGATGATATCGTGTTAGTAGATGAGATTAAAGAAGGAGTTAATACAGAGTTAGAGATTTGGAGAGAAACACTTGAATCTAAAGGATTTTGAATAAGCAGAACTAAAACAGAATACATGGAGTGTAAATTTAGTAATAGTAACAATAGAAACAGAGGAAAAGTGAATATTGAGAACCAAGAATTACTTAAAAATGGATATTTTTTTGTTATTTAGGATCGATTACCACAACGACTGGAGAGATTGGAGCGGATGTGGTCCACAGAATTAAGGCGAAGTGGCTTAAGTGGAGGAGTGCGTCTGGAGTATTATGCGATAAATGAGTACCTATTAGACTAAAAGGGAAGTTCTATAGAATGATTATTAGACCAACAATGTTGTATGGGACGGAATGTTGGGCAACCAAGAAACAATGTGTAGATAAGATGAGTGTTGCTGAGATGGAGATGCTAAGGTAGATGTGTGGTAAGAATAGAAAAGACAGAGTTAGGAATGAGTATATTCGAGAATGGATAGGAGTAGTATCGATAGAAGATAAGTTGAGAGGGAATAGATTGAGATGGTTTGATCATATATAATGAAGATCAACAGAGACAGTAGTGAAGAGATGCGATATAGTGACGGTAAATGGTAGTATTAGGCGAAGAGGTAGATCTAGATTGATGTGGACTAGTGTAATAAATAGAGATATAAATCTCCTTAATTTGACTAACGAAATGGCCTTGGATAGAATCGAGTGAAAAAGAAGGATTCCCGTAGCCGACCCCATTTGATGGGTTTGGTTTGGTTTGGTTTGATTTGGTTAGTCTTAGAATGTAAGTTGTCCTTTGATTAAAATCTCTAATTTATTTTCCAGATACATTTACACAGCTGCACTTGACGCACTGGGCAAGGCAAAGAGACCAGTTGAAGCACTGAATTTATTTCATGCAATGCAGGTAAGGTATATACATTTTTTTATGTGCATTATGTCGTCACATGTTAATAATGGGAGCATTGAATTTCTTCTTCAGCAACACATGTCCACATATCCCGACCTTGTAGCTTATCATTTTATTGCTGTCACTCTTGGACAAGCGGGACATATGAGGGAACTGTTTGAGGTGATCGATAGTATGCGCTCTCCTCCCAACAAGAAGTTTAGGACTGGGGTTCTTGATAAGTGGGATCCCCGATTGGAACCAGATATCGTTGTCTACAATGCTGTAAGCAATACTTCGTTGGTTTTTTATTTGAAAATTATGGTTGAATCTTCAATTGATTTATTTCGAAAAAGCCATCAAGAATAAATAAGCCATCAAGATGAAGCTTTATTCTCAGTATTACCATGTTAATGGATTTTTATTTTTTTCTAGAATAAATGTCAGCTTGATTCTGATGTTTTTGCCATATAATCCTACATCCTGTCTCCTGGTAGAAGACAAAAATTTTGACACTTGCAAAATGCTATAGATGAAAAGCTATGAATGAAGCTGTCAATTCTGCTGTCCACTATTCAAGTCAGATGGGATTTCCCTTTTCCTCATTAGCTGTCAGTAAAACAATGCATCTTTTGTTTTCCACTGTTTAGATGTCCTGTGAAATCACCACTGTCCTTTAAATGAACTTTGAATTGACTCCAATTTGTGTCAGCTGCTGTGATTTGGTACCTGCACACAATCTTCCCAAAACTTTTGAAGGTCCATGATTTTTTTAAATGTTACCTTTGCTTTTGATTTTTGTAGTTTTAAAATATGTATGAGGGGAGGAGGGGATACTTTGACTCTTGTTTATTTTTGCATGCAAAATTCAGTATTAGTGATATATGTGTGTATACATATAATATATATATATATATTAACAGGTCCTAAATGCTTGTGTGCGGCGGAAGCAATGGGAGGGTGCATTTTGGGTATTGCAACAGTTAAAGGAACAAGGCCAACGGCCTTCTAGTGTAACATATGGACTTGTCATGGAGGTAATATCTGCTTCTTGATGCTCTGTCATTGTCCTTTCTTGCAATTGCGTGTTTGTTTTTTACAGAATCTATCACTTGGATAACACATTGATGAATGCTAGCTCAACATCTAGTTTCCTTCTTTTTTGATGACTGTTGGTCTTATTGTTTGAAAAGCATGTGGGTTTTAAAGTGAATTTTCTAACTAGGGATACAAGCCTCCTTCCTGCCTTAACATATTAATATCTCCTTTAGGCTTTTTACTTTCCGAAACCCTAACAACCTACAGATGTGTGTGAATAGTTGGGTTTTTTGAAATGGAGATCAAGCTCTATACACCCACTTCTTTTTTTAACATTAAACATATAAGAATGTATGATAAATTTGTTAGAATAAGTGTTAGAATAGGAAATAATATTACATATATTTTATTCTTATTTTATTTTATTTTCCTTTGATTGATATAATGGGCTGACCCATAATTTATGCCTAATGGCACTCCAGTAATTACTCATTATTATCAATATAAAAGGGAATGAGGTCTCACTCATTCCCTATCTCTCTCTCTTCTCTAAACTTACATGGTATCAGAGCCATGCCCTAGACATCTTTCATTCTCTGCCCCCATCACCACCAGTTGCCTCCTCTCTCCTTCCTACCATACGACACACCCTTGTAACCGCCCTCCAACCACCTAACAACCTCTTCCTCTTCCCCTCTTCCTCTACCCCCGACAGCCTCCTCTAGCCCTACCCAAGCCTCCCCCGACACCCCCAGCCTTTCCCTTCCCTCAGCAGGCCCCTCTAGCCACTGTCGAGGGCCCCCAGGTAGCCAACCAACCTCCTTACTGGTTTGGTCGAGTTCGGCAGCCCTTCTAGGGTAGCTTGAGTTCATTTCTTCCCTTCTGGGATCTTCTGGTGATGTAAAACAGCAAAAAAACGAAAAAAAAAAACAAAAAAGACAAAAGAAAAAGAAAAGAGGTTTATGCTGAGTTCTTAATTCTTTATGCTTCCATAGTGACCATTGTGCTTGTTCTTCCACTATCATCTTTCGGATTTGTGATTGGCATTGTGTTTGAGAAGTAATTAGTAGAGTCTCCATGATAGATTTGACTAGTGAATCTACTACCTCACAGCTATTCAGGGCGAGAGTTCTGTTATTCCTTCTACTATTACTGATAACCTCAACTCTGGCCTTAAAATCACCATCTCTTTATTCAATAGTCAAAATTGCCTAGCGTGGTCACAGAGTCTGACTATTTTCGTGAAGAGCAAAGGGAAGATGGGATATGTTGATGGGAGGATGCATGCACCCAATACCACAGACCCTCGTTATGATCAGTGGGAGATCACCAATTCTCTGATTATGGGCTGGTTGATACATTCTATGATACCAGAGATTGGAGAGGGCTATTTGTCTATGGATACTGCCCAGGATATTTGGGAGGCCATAGCTACTACTTACTCCAGGAAGGGGAACTTCTCCTAGGCTTTGGAGTTATGTTGCTCCATTGAAAGGTCGGTATAAGGTGAGATGACTATCCTCCAGTATTTTACCTTCCTTAGCAATAGGTTGAAGCTACTCGATCACCTTAAGGATTACAAACCTGTCTATACCACTGATTCTGCTGGTTACCGAAAGTTTATGAAGCAAGAGTGGGTCTTCAAGTTCTTGGAAGGCTTGAATGTGGAGTATGATCTAGTTCGGAGCAAAGTACTTGGTATGGCCGTGCTTCCTTCTCTCTAGGAAGCCTTTGCTTTTGTGCAGAATGAGGAGAGTTGCTGCTCTGCTATGCTTCCTTCTGCCACTACTGATCGCTCTGTCTTGGTTTCTGCACCACCTCGAGATAAAGAGCATGCAACTCGTGGTTCTCGTCTTTCCTTTGAGAAGGATATTTTTTTCTGTGACTACCGTCGTAGACCTTGACACACACGAGAGACTTGTTGGAAGCTGTATGGGACTCCTTCTGGTGGCCAAAGAGACTGTCTTAGTACTTGCGGGGGTAGGTCTGGTCAGTCTAGAGGCCGAAGGGCCAATGCTCGGGCATATCTTTCTAATACGGTTGAGCCACCACCTTCATCTCGAGTAGTCTCACCGGGTGCTGATGTTTTGGGCTTATCTGCCTCAGAGTTTGAGATCGTTCTTCGCCACTTGCTAGACCGTCGAGCCTTTACTTCTGCCACAAGTGCATCCTCTTCTTCCTTTGCCAATTCAGGTAACTTAGCTTCCTCCACATGTGCATTGCTATCTCATACTACCGTGCCATGGATTATTAATTCTGGTGCTTCAGACCATATGTCTGGTTTTTCTAATTTGTTTTCAGATTATAACCCCTTCTCAGGTCAGGAAAAAGTGTGTATTGCTTATGGTACTATTTCATCTGTGTCAGGAAAAGGTTTAATTCATGTCACTTCTTCCCTTTTTTTATCCTCTGTACTCCACGTTCTCAATTTTAGTGTTAATCTTTTATTTTTGAGTCGTATTACTCGTGATTTGAATTGTAGCGTGACGTTTTTTCCTAATCATTGTCTGTTCAGGACCTTATTGCGAGGAAGAAGATTGACAGTGGTAGTGAGGAACATGGTCTCCACATTCTAGATCAGACAAACAAGCTGGCTCATTCATCTATTCAGTTACCATCCACCAAGGAAGACCTTTGGTTATGGCACCGTTGCTTAGAACATCTCTCCTCTTTACTAGTTAAGCATTTATTTCCTTCGGGTTTTGAGAAAAATAATGTGTCTGCTTTTCAATGTGAGTCATGTCAACTTGAAAAACAACACAGAGTTTCTTTTGCTCATTCTATTAATAAAAGTTCAATTCCATTTTCTTTGATTTATTTTGATGTATGGGGTCCCTCATGTTTTGTGTCTTTAAAAGGTCAAAAATGGTTTGTTACTTTCATAGATGACTGTTCTAAGGCCACTTGGGTATATATCTGATGAAAGATAAAAGTGAAGTGTTTTCTGTGTTTCAAAACTTTCATAAAATGGTTTGCACTCAGTTTGGGACGGTTGTAAAAATTCTGCGTTCTGATAATTGGGAGGGGGGGCAATATATTGACTTTGGTCTTGCCAGTTATTTTGCCACTCATGACATTATTCACCAAACTTTTTGCACTAATCCCCTCAACAAAATGGTGTTGCAGAATGGAAAAATCGCCATCTCCTTGATGCAACCCGTTCTCTATCCTTTGAAATGCGTGTTCCTCGATCCTATTGGGGGAAGCGGTTCTCACTGCCGCTTATTTGATTAATCGTCTTCCTCCCCAAGTCCTTTACAAACAAACACCTCTTCAAGTTTTGTTCGGGTCCACATATTCTAAGTTCTTCATCCCCCTAAGACCTTTGGATGTGTTTGTTTTGTCCATAATCATTTACCCACTCGTGGTAAATTAGATCCTCGGTTTCTTAAGTGTGTTTTCCTGGATTACTCTGCCACCCAAAAGTGCTATAAGTATTATCATCCTCCATCTCGCAAATAGTTTGTCTCCAAGGATGTTATGTTCTTTGAGTCTCAGTCGTACTTTCAGACCTCCCTAATGTCTCAGTCCTCTCCTGTGTCACAGTCATTCCTTTAGGGGGAGCCTTGGTATGAAGAGATTCATGTTCCACTACCTCCAATGGTTGAACAGATAAAGGATGTTGAGCCAACAATTGTTGTGAAAAAGGAAGAAGGCAAAGTTTATGTCAGGGACAAAGATAGATAGAAAGTAACCTGGATGCAAGACCCTACTTCTGATCCTCTACTGCCAACTTCTCCGAATAAGTGTCCAGCATTCGCCTCTCCTGAGAGTCCAGGTAATTCTGATCTTAATGTTTCTATTCCTGAGTTTTCAGATCTTGATGTTCCTATTGCTAATAAGAAGGGGGTTAGGTCATGTACTATTTCTACTCATGTCTCATATTCTAATCTGTCTCCCTCGTATAAAGCCTTTCTTTCTAAAATTTCGTCTGTGTGTCTGCCTAATAACTTCCAGGATGCTCTCTCTATTCCTGAGTGGAAACATGCCATGATGGAGGAAATACGAGCTCTTAGCAAGAATGGCACTTGGGAGTTAGTGGAGTTGCCTACAGGCAAAAATTCAGTTGGTTGTAAGTGGGTGTATACTGTAAAACATAAAGCAGACAGTTCCATAAAACGGTACAAAACAAGATTGGTTACTAAGGACTTCACTCAGACTTATGGAGTAGATTATCAGGAGACATTTGAACCGGTTGCTAAGATGAACTCTGTGAGAATTTTGCTCTCCCTTAGCAAATTTGGATTGGCCACTTCATTAGTTTGATGTGAAGAATGTCTTCCTTCATGGAGATCTCAAAGAAGAGGTCTATATGGATATATCCCCTGGATTCGAAGATGCTAAGTCCAAGGGTGAAGTGTGCAAGCTCCCAAAATCACTTTATGGACTAAAGCAATCTTCTAGGGCTTGGTTTGAAAGGTTTGCTCAAGCTATGTTGAGATATGGGTTCAAGCAGAGTCAAGCTGATCATATCTTATTTGTCAAACACTCCTCACTTGGTAAGACTACAGCCTTAATTGTCTATGTTGATGATATTGTTCTGACAAGGGGATGATGTCAAAGAAATCCCTCGATTGAAGGAGTACCTAGCCCAGGAGTTTGAAATCAAGAACTTGGGCACTTTGAAGTACTTTCTGAGCATTGAAGTAGCTAGGTCCAAGGATGGTACCTTCATATGCCAAAGGAAGTATGTACCTGACTTGCTAAAGGAAACTGGGATGCTTGGAAGTAGACCATGTGACACACCTCTAGAATCGAGTCAGAAGTTAAGTGAAGTTCAAGTGGACAAGGAGAGATACCACAGATTAGTAAGGAAGCTTATATCTTATCTCAATCGCGCCTAGACATTGCCATTGCAATAAGTATGGTTAGCCTGTTTATGCATGCTCCTAGTGTCACGCCCCACTTTTTATTACTCGAAGTATTACCAATTTCATTTACTTAATTCCATATTTCAGAGATAACATGCGAAATAAACTTGTATATTCAACTTGTAGAAGTGAATAACATTGCTCTCATTCGTATGCAAGTAAATAACCATGAGAACACTAAATAAATTGCCCTTGGGCTTACATCATTAAAAAGTCAAGAAGAAGGGTATAACCCTTTTACATAAATGGCATTCCGCCAACACAAAAGAGGCCCGTGGCCAACAAATAAAGATCCAAAACCTTGTAGCACATCCGGCTATCACCTGAAAAGATTTAACAACGCTGGGAATCTCT